ACAGTGTCAGCTTCTCCTCCCTGATAAAGTCTGGCACAGTCAGGCAAGGAGGCCTCCCAGAGGTCACCTCAAGCTGGCAGACAGCACCCGTGGGTAGTAAGTTGTGCCTAGGACAAATATTTAGGAATGCTAGTCTTTAACCTCTCTGAATGACCATTTTTAAAAAATCCCACTGGGACTGTGAGTGCTCAGCCACAAATGAGTCATCAACCTCCCTCACTCAAGGCTCAGGCAACAGCACACAGGAAAGAGTGGGCAAACAGCACGTAAGAGCTGGAAGAGAACTGTGAAATGTCTTCTAGACATGACACACTGTTGTTACACACACATCAACTCACAGCAGCTGTTGTTGCCTGCACAAGACCTGCATGAGATCAAGCCAATCAAAATTCCAGCATGATGGTGGTGCACGCCTTTGATCGCAGCATCAAGAGACAGAGGCCGGTGGATCTCTGTGAGTTCGAGGTCAGCCTGGCCTACAAGTGAGTTCCAGAACAGCCAGGGCTACAGAGAAACCCTATCTCAAAAAATAAGCAAGCAAACGAACAACAAACAAACACATTCCAGCATGGATGATGAACAGACTCCTGAGCTCCCTCTCCTAACTAAAACTCTATTGGCAACTGACGGCTTCTGGGAGACAGTCACTTTCCTTTGAGGATGAGGGCACTGGTAGGTTGTCCATTCCCCAATGGATAATCCCACATCTATATGCCTATGGTTAGCATTAATTAGAATCAGTGGGCTAGGGGGCTGGAGAGATGGCTCAGAACAAAAAATAAATAACAACAACAACAATAACAACAATAATAAAAGTACTGGTTGGATGGTCCCAGGGAAGAGTTGGAGGGAGGTAGTAGAGGGTTTGATAAGATAAAAAAAAAATTGTATACATGCATTCAAGTTTTGAAAACTTAATACAAAATATTACTTTGGGCTGTTGTAGATCAGCACTTGCCCTGTATACACAAAACACTAGGTTTGCCAGGCCTGGTGGTACAGGCCTAAAATTCCATCTGCTCAAGAAGCTGAGGCAGGAGGATTATAAATCAGGGCCTGCTTGGACTACATAGTGAGCTTTAAGCTAGCTAGTGATATACACGGAGAACTTTTTTAATGAGTGAAGAAATAAATAAATTCCATACTGTAGCCAAAACCACTGAATACTTTTTTAAATCACTCTGGGTTCCAACTCCTGGGTGACCATAGGGAACAATCTGATTAGTCAGTGTTTAATGTTGCCCTTTGACCTGTCCCCTAAGACAAGCTATATCCAGAGCTTTCAGACACACTTGTTCAGATAACCAATCCTAAATTCCCCCATTATTTTTTCTATACCAATTTCCGTGTTAGGTTTTTTAGAAGGATAAATGGAATGCCCCCCCCTAAAGACATGTGCATATGAAATTCCTGAAGCCCAAGAATGGAATCTGATTGGGGAGGGGTTTTGGTGATGAGATCATTTTAAATTATCTTCATGGCCTCTCAATCTAGTGTTGTATCCTTAGAGACTTTGTCACACAGGGCAGAGAACTTGTGTAGTGACACAAAGAAGGAAAAAGGCCATGTGGTCACTGAGGCAGAGACAGGAGTGACTCAGTCACAAGCTAAGAATGGACAAAGACAGAGGGCAGTCACAAGGAGCTAAGAGATGTTACAGACACCTTTCCCCCAGAGCTGTGGAAGTAAGAATGACCTTGTCCACAATTTTTTTGGGAGGGTGGGGGAAGTTGGTTTTTTTGAGACAGGGTTTCTCTGTGTAGCCCTGGCTGTCCTGGAACTCCATCTGCAGTCCAGGCTGGCTTCAAACTCACAGAGAGCTGTCTGCTCTGCCTCCTGAGTGCTGGGATTAGAGGTGTGTGCCACTACCACCTGGCTTCAATTTTTTTTTTTTTTTTTGAGACAGAGTCTCATGTAGCCCAGGCCAGCCTCAGCCTCACTATGTAGCCAAAATGAGCTTGAACATCTGATTCTTCTGTGTCCACCTCTAAAACATGGGGATTACAGGCTGCACCACCACACCCAGTTTTATTTTATGAAGTGCTAGGGATCTAACCTAGGTTGTGTGCATGCTAGACAAACACCTTATTGGCTGAATTACATCCCCAGCTCCCATCCACAACAGAAGTTCAGGCATCTCACTTTCAGAACTGAGAGCAAATACAATTCTGTCAGTTCAGATTCCTAGGCATGGGAAAGGGGGGGGGGGGGGGGCCACTGCCACTGCCATCATGGAAAGTCACAGAGCAGCTACTGAAGTTCCTGCTTCCATGGTCAGGAAGGACCATCAGTGACTGATCTCATCAATAGGCAGCATGAGATCCCAGGCATGGAAACAGGCAGGGACTCGAAGCACCAATGGCCAAGGGGCATAGATCAAAGAAAATCATCTGTAAATGCCGCCTAAAACGTGAAGCCAGGGTGAGTCATCCCACTCCTTCAGGGGCCTGCCCTCAGAGATCAGGTACTGTCACTTGATGCCCACTTCTACTTGCAATTTCCACACCGGCACCGTAGAAGTGAAGGCAGGCAGGAGAATCATTAAGAACTCGAGGAGGAACCAGGCGATGGTGGCACACGCCTTTAATCCCAGCACATGGGAGACAGAGGCAGGAAGTCCTCTGAATTTGAGGCCAGCCTGGTCTATAAAGTGAGTTCCAGGATAGCCAGGACTTGTTATACAGAGAAACCCTGTCTCAAAAAACAAACAAAGAATTAGTATTCGGCAAGTTGGTTCTGCTTTGGGGATATCCATATTCTTTTTTCCTTTCTTTCTCTATTTTGAGACAAGATCTTGCTGTGTATCCTTGGTTGGCCTGAAACACTACCTAGGCCAAGCGGGCCTCAAACTCAAGAAATCTGCCTGCCTCTGCCTCGCAAGTGCTGGCCACCACCATCCCACCCTACACCCTTCCCACCACCCTCCGATGTCAATATTCTTAACTGGCATTCGAGTAAACTGTGAAAATAACTTTATGAAGGAAAATGGTGGGCACGGGGTCAAAGTATATTGCTGGGGTCTAATTGGAAGAGTGCAGAGGTGAGTGCAGCGTGCATGATGAATTTTCCTGGGATTGTTAGGGCAATTCAAATAAGCAGTTTTTGGAGTGATGGAGTTTCATAGCTGCTTTTGAAATGATACATCCCACACAACAATGAATAAATTGAAAACAAATGCGCCCATCATTTGAGTGGGATGCTGCTAGTAACAGCAACAGGTCTGACAAAGTAACTGCATACAAGGAAATAAAACCGGTTGAGGACAAAGCTTCACTTGCCTAGCATGCCCAAGGCCATGGGTTCAATCTCCAGTCCACAAACACCCCAACCCAAACATAAAGAAAAGCCGCGACGACATGATCCAGGACTCGGAAGGTGCCTTAATGCTAATTCCTACTCCCTTCCTCAGCCACCTCCTCCAGGCCTTCTCACTGATCCCAGCAGCTCCTTCCCCTCCAGGCTCCGCCTCAAACCCCGCCCCCAAGTTCTCCTCCCCAGCTCCTAGGCTCCCGTGCTCCCCAACCCAACCACCCACTCCGCATCCTGACTACTCTGTGTGTCTTCCCTAGGCTCTTTTTCTCTTTTGGCTTCTCCTTTTGTCTTTATCAACCCCCTCCACCAACTCCCGCAACTCCCCTTCCTCCTCCGCTTTTTCAGGCTCCTCTTCTCAATCGTCGTCCTCTCCTCCCCAGCTCTTCCTTCCTCCAGCTCCTTCCCTGCTCCTCCTTTCTCTCACCCTGCCCCCTTCAGTTTCTCCCCATCTCCTAGTCTCCCCCAACCCCCTTTTCTCAGGATCCTCCTCTCTCTCCACAACTCTTATTCTGGGTTTTGCTCTTCTTGACATCTCCCGCCACTTTCTCCAGCTCCTCCCCTCCCCACCCCCTCTAGATCTCTTTCTCAACCTCTTCTCTCCGCACCACCACCCTCCTCCCAACACCTCTTTCGTTCCTCCTCCCAGCTCCTCCTCCCCCTCCAACGTTTCCCCTTCCCTTTCCAATCCCTCTCGGCCGCTCCGCCTCTCCCTCAGGGTCGTTGGCCCGCCCCTCCGAGTGATCGATGGGTCCTCGGCGCTCGGCTCGCCATGTCTGCGACGCTGCCATGGAGACGTAACCGCGGCCCCCTGGCCCCGCCCCGAACCTGGAGCACCTGCGTCATCCGGCCCACGCGTGTCCGCAAGTGCTGGACACGAAGGCTGCTCCGCTGGAGCGTCTGGACAAGGCCGAGCTAGCGATACTTTTGCCAGAAGCAGGGGTGTGGGGCGTAGGACCTGCATCCTTCCCTCCGCCCTGATGTTCTACTCCGTAGTTGAGGGAGGCTTCTCTCACCAGCGGAGACCCTGGTACCACTAACCAACCGTGGGTTATGAAGGGATCTGCGATTGCCCACACGCCTCACCCTTCCACCCAGCTCAGCTGGCCGCATCCGTGAGTAGCTTCACTGAACTCTAGCCCACCGAGGCTATTCCTGATGGCAAGGCCCATGTTGGGCCTGCTCCCGAAACCTGACAGCTTCTTCCCTTTGCAGTGTCACCCGTGGTAAGAGCGGAAGACTGAACCAGATCCCAATTGTGTTTTGAGTGGTGTGGACAGGTCAGCCCCTGCTGCAAACTGTGTACAATGCCCGTTCTCTCGGGATCCTGGAAACATCTCTTTGAGCTCAGGAGTGTCGCAAAGGCAGTGGACACCTGACAGGCCGCCCAGAGTGGTGTGGAATCTCTATCAACTTTATTGTGCAGTTTGGACCACAGCGCCAATCTGACCCACTTTCTGTCTGGAATGGCTCTCACATGGCTTCTGAACCGGGTCAAAAGTGTCTTGGCTTCCCATGCCCTCCTGAGATCTTGCCCATGAAAAGGTCTGAGTTGTCTACTTCCACTATTAAGTTGAACAAGGGCTCCTTAACCCAACAGCCGTCAAAGTTCTTGGCCAACTAGTTAACAGAGCATAGGCTGTTCCTGACCTAGGAGGAAAGCCAAGTGTGCAGGAGCCTGGGGCCTGGGGATGAGTGGTCGGGTCCCACTGGCAGAGAAGGCCCTGTCAGAACACTATGCCCGCCTTCGGTACAGGGACACTTCCTTACTCATTTGGCAACAGCAGCAGCAGAAGTTGGAGTCTGTACCACCCAGTACATACCTGAGCAGGAGCCGCAGCATGTGGTATTCCCAGTATGGAAATGAGGCCATCTTAGTCAGAGACAAAAACCAGCTTGGGGTCTCTAGGGACACCGGCCAGTCTAAGTTTTGCTCCATCATGTAATTCCAGGGAGAAAATCCTTGATGGCTGTAAAGACCAAGCTTTGGTATAAAAACTCAACACCCAAGAATACCACCCAGTCCTTTATCAGTGGCACAGCTGGTACCTAGATGCACCCACACACACACACACACACACACACACACTGCCCAGGCCCAAAGGGGAACCTGGTGATGTCCCCATCTCCTAGCCTGATATAGAATGGGTCAGGTCCAGGGTGAAGAGGGGACTCTTTTCCTGGAGGGTCCCAGATCTCTCAGTTCACTGCATTGACAAGCAAAAAGGAGACAGACTGTAGTGGCCAAACGACCTATTGCTACATTGCAGTAGCATCCACACTGGTCTTGTATATAGGTGTGGTGTGTCTTAAATACCTTAAGTAAAACCCTCCAATTTAAAGCCCCATCTAAGTTGCCTGAATTGATTCCGACCCTAATCATGTGTGGGAAAGAGCATTCGCCTGGTGGTGGCACATTGGAATCTCCTATCAGGCTGCAATGGTATTCTTTTAGGGTCTATCACATATTCCGTCTCAGTACACATGGTGTGGACAGCTGGATGTACTTGCCCCTGTGCAGTTAAAGGTCTGTGAGGCTATGCAGATTCCAGGATGTGTTTTGTTAAAGCTAAGCCTTCTAAATAAATGTTTTAAGACTCTTCCCTTTCTCATTTGTCTTGGAGTGTAAAACCTTACCTGGCTTTTTGAAATAACATTAACGGCTAATGATCAATAAGAGCCCCAATACAGAAATGTATAAGCATGGTCCCTCCCTCAAGACAGCCACTGTCAGAAGACATGCATGTCTTCTCACTCTGCACTGCGTGCTCAGTCTCAAACTGCACTAGTGGCATCACCCCACTGTACACCTTGCTCTGCCTACTCCTCACCAGGCAACTTAGCTAGCACAGAGATGGCACCTAGCTTATAATCAATGCAAAGAGCACATCTCACGAATGGCTGTGTTCACTGTACTGCGTATCTCTTTGCAGTTGTGCTAATTTGTACTAGAACCATCAGGACATTGTACATTCCTCAAAGACTTCATCCAGCCACAGACCTGGCTAGCTAGAGCCAAGGAACTTTGGCTCAGTCCCTGCAGCAGATCAAGGGCATGGGTTGGACTTCCTGTACATTGAGAGGGGAAGCTCATTGTACAGTAAGGGTTGGTTGGCCTGACCAGGAGGCCTAGCACTTGGAAACTGTTCCAAGTTCATTAGTTTCTGTCAAGCCTTTCAGTTCAACTCAAGTCCTGCAAGTAAGCTTCAAACTTATCTGGAATTTCTGACACCTGCTCACACCTCACCCTAACCCAAGACCTCATCAGATACAGCACTGACTTGGAGACAGGATTTCAGGTCACAGACTTGTGTTGGGATGGGTAAGCACTTGTGGGTTAGTTGTCTTCAGGGAGTCAGCAGGAGTGGCACACAGGCATCAGATCCCATGTAGGATACTGGAAAGCCACTAAGCTGCTTAGACTACAGGAAGATGCTATCTGTGCTTAGGACACCAGGCCAGTGCTGGAAGAGACTAGTCTGATGAGAAGAAGCAACAATGACAAAATAGTCTGTCCCATTCTGGATGGGGTAGACATGCCATTGGACCCAACATGAACTTCCTGCCTAGGATTGATGACTTGGCCATTTGGAAAACAACTTTTGGGTCCTTAGACCCTAAAGCCCAACTCCTCATTCATTCTTCAGTGTCTAAACCACTCCACAGCCTGTTCTTAGTGACTAGTATAGGGTTCTTTATGTATTCTCATCTACATTTCTGGGCTCACTACACTTGAAGGCCTGTGCCACAAATAACCTGGCAATAGACTGCAGCAGGGAGGAGCTAGAATGGACATTAGGTGAGACCACCTGAGGAACCCTTGGTCCTTGGGGAGGCAGTCAGTCCAAGTGAGAACTGCAAAGGACTCCTTATCCCTCAGCACCTGTTCTGCAAAAGGACTCCCACTCTTACTGTGTAGTAGGCTGGCCTTAAATAATTCACAGCAGCCAGGTGGTGGTGGCACACACCTTTAATCCCAGCACTTAGGAGGCAGAGGCAGGTGGACCTCTGTGAGATGGAGGTCAGCCTGGTCTACAGAACAGTTCCAAGACTGCCAGAGCTGTTACACAAAGAAACCCTAAACAAAACAAAACATTGACAAAAAAAAAAAAAAATCACAGCAGTTCTGCTGCCTCAGCCTACCAACAGATTATAAGTATGTGCTACCACACTTAGCTCAGAGTGTTTTTTAAAGCCCTTTTTGGATGTTCTGTGTATTTCTACCAAGAGCTATAAGACGTAAAGTATGAGGAGCTCACCATGTGCCCTCAGGAAGAGGCATTGCAGCAAAGAGCACTACACAGACATCGCCTTTTTCCCCCTTCTTTTTATTATGAAAACAAAACAAACACCCCAGGAGAAAGGTTCATGATTACCAGAGACACCAGAGTACTTCCTACCGTTTTAACTCTGTGGTGTTGAGGCCGGCATTGCAAAAAACAAGCTAAAACTACTTACAATGGACTCATCTTCAGTAAACTGACATTTACAGGGATATACTAGAAACGGCACTGAAAAGTTTAAGAAAAGTTACGGTAAACTTGCATGCACATCATACAGAAAAGAAACATTTTAAATATATATATATAAAAAAAGAAAAGCTTCTGGAAGTGTTATGCCAGTAGCAGGGACAGTGATAAACAAGATGACAAAGCTTTAACAGTGGGCTTGCATTTCCCAAATGACTGTAAAAGGTATGACAGCTGCAAAAGGACAAATCAAGAAAACCACAGAAGAAAATGTCTCCAATCTGTAAGCGAGCTAAGTTACACAGCCTGAGGAGGTCTGAACCCCCAAAGCCCAATCCTCAGCCTCTAAGACTCTGCCAAGTGACCACCCCACCCCTGCATCTGACCCCCAAGGAAGCCATAGACATCTGTCCTCCACCTCTGTACAGGACAATCTAAGTCCCTGTAGCCTGTGTAACTAGAAGAAGGGAATGGCAGTCACCCTGCAGCCTGGCATTGTGGGAATCAACACCCTCCAAAACTCTGGAGACAAAACAGTTTTAAGTCTGGACAGAAAGTTTGAAGAAAAAAAAAAAAAAGTTAAAAGCACCAATGACAGAAGCTGCTCAGTAGGGACCACAGTCATGGAAATGCCAGACTCCATCCCGTGCAACCAGCTCTATACCTCTGCCCCGCTGCTGGGATGCCACTCCAGGACTGGACTCTGCTTGCCTAACAGCTCACAGAGGCACTCTATGCATGCCCAGGCACTGTGCCTTGCCTAGGCATGATGGCTAGGCTGTCATGGTAGGCCACCACTGAGACCCCATGTGAAGGCCTGTCAGTTTCCTCCTGTTTATTTCTTACAGTCACAGCTTAAATATTCTATTAAAGATCTGTTTAAAAAATACCTTTGAAAAACAAGGGTAACTTTAAAAAAATGGAACCTTAAAATCCACTTATATTTTTATTATAAACAAAACTGGCTTACAAGTTTAACAAACTGGCTGATAATTCACCAGGCGTCTAGACATGGCAGCCAGCCAGCCACTTCCCGAGCTTGATACCCCACTGCCTAGCCACACCCACAAGGGCTGCTAGGATCGACTTTAGAAATTTTAAACGTCTCCCTTGTAGGGATGTTGAGGATGAGTCCTTGGCTCTGCCAGATGCAATGGAAGAAATCACAGGGTCCCCCCACCACAAGAAAAACCACTCAACACAAGGCTCTGCACTTGGCGCTCTGAAGTGGGGGTCAGGACAGTCAGTTTTCTAGGCTAACTGGAAATTCTTGAACAGGGACCCCTGAATCATCAGGTTCACCTTCAGCCCTGTCAGGTCAGGAAGAGCCTCTGCAGGCTGCAGAGGAGGTACATACAGGCCTGGGAGACTGGCCCGTGTCCTCCTGGCTGAGGCCACAATGCTCAGAGCTAATCCAGGCTGACCCTGAATTCCAAAACCATTTGGCAGCCTCAAAAACAACAAACTGATGAGAACTTTCTGTTAAACTCTGTATATTATTACTTTTTACAATAGAAAATTAAATGTCAAGACCTTGGACTGATATACATCACTTTTCTCTCAGCTTACAAAGCGTGTGTTGAAGAACCGAGTTCCCTCCGTTGATGTTAGTGACACAGAACTGAACAAACATAAAATGAGGATGTGCCGCAGCCGAAGGGTGTCTATACTTGTAAAGTCCCCAAATTTCATTAAAAAAAAAAAAAAAGAAAGAAAGAAAGCCAACGAGCCCAGAGAGCCCAGATGTGATGAGCACCAGAGGGGCACGCCGCCACAGGACCAATCTTCTCACCATGGGTCATCTCCTTGTCGCCAGAGACCTGCATCTCCACTACGTCTCTTAATGCACTTATTTATGCGTTTTTCTTTTCTTTTTTTCCTTTTTTTTTTAAAAAAATGACCAATGATGTTAATAAATAAAGTATTTATATATACATAAAACTGGGGAGGTGGTTCAGAGTGTGAGGCGGCGGCAGCCAGGCAGCACTAGCAAAGTGGGGCACGCTGGGCTGGACTTCTGTAGTTCTGTAGAAAATGGATGAACTTACAAAAGGTTTTGTTTTGTTTTTTTTTTTGCCTTTGTTTTTTTTTTTTTTAATTTTTTGTTTTTATTCCCTTAAGTTGAGGTAAAAGTTTCGGTGCCCCGAAACCTGCACGCTGCACACACAGCCATAGGGTCAGAGAACTCAGCACCCCTCTTCCTCCACACCCAACCCAGAGGTGGGAGGCTCTGGCCTGCAGCTATGAGGACCCTCTGCTGGGGCCCAGCCTGGTTTCCGTGGGCTGACACATCTGTCCTCAGCCCCCGCAGAGAGAAGTAACCTGCTGGTTAGTGTTCTAACAGCTCTCAAACACAGAACCCATTCCAGAGCAACTGAAAAGCTTCCTTCACGTTACTAAGGGCGAGGCTGGGCCTGAAGAGGTATTGGGCAGAACCAGCCACGCCTCCCACTGTGTCTATGGTTATCAGGTTAGCATCCCAGGCCGCAGTCTCCAAACAACTAAACTGAGCTGCAAAGGCATT